TCTCTCTCTCTCTCTCTCCCTCCCTCCCTCCCGCGCGACTTTCAAAAAAAAAGAAAAAAAAAGAAAAAAAAAGAAAAAAAAGTATCAGGAATTGTGCATTGTGAGATCCTTGCCACAGTGGATGTTCTTACGTTGTGCATTGTGGTTTTCCTCTCCATGATTTTGGATGGTGTCAACACAACAGGGATGGTGGTGGAAGAAGAGTGTGACTCTGTACTGCAAATGGGAGAAGCTGCTCCAGGGGCTGCGGGCACTTGTGTTCCCTGTTCAGAAACGCGGCTGGCTGTAGACCAAGGGGGATTGTGCGGCAAGCAAATTCCGCTCGCTCATATACCGCAGTATCTGCAAGGCTTCGACCATGGAGCAGAGCTAGAGCTGTGGGAAATCACGGCGAGGTCATCGTCATTCATGTCAGGACGGTGAGTAGTTTCTTCCTTCACACCAACTGTGGCAATTGCAGCCATCTGGACCAGGTGCATCGCATGGGCAGCGTGACTGCACAGATCATAACATACGTTCTGCATACCGAGAAAAGGCATGTGCAGTCAATGCTGCTTTCCTCACTGAAAAAAAAAAAAAAAAAAGAAGAAAAAAAAAAAGTGCAAAAGAGGAGGTGTGAGAGCATCAGACTTCCAACCGTCTATATTGCGACGTGTGGTCGATGGATTAGTCGTATTTAGTAGCCCAACTATATAGTGATGGAAAAGGCGCTTTAGTCGTATTTAGTACCCCAACTATATAGTGATGGAAAAGGCGCGTTAGGCACTGTAGAGCGAAGGCGTGTGGGACCGAAAAAGTACGTACGAGTTCCACAATCAATTCAATGTCAGAGTAGCCATGCATGGAAGGTGTATCATGTGTGGTGGGTCTTTGTGAGGGAAACTGTTGGTTCGTCTCGCAGGGCATTGATTTCAAGGCATGGAAAACAGCCTGTGTGACGGTGAGGGGGAATATCAGTCACATAGGCATGACCATTGACCCCATCTGTATCGCTTCCAATAACATCCGGTATTGCCCCACTGGAATGAGAACACAATGCATTGACACTACAACATGAGTCTTGAGCACGCCAGATTGCACACAAGCCGAACATATGGGAATGAAACCCAAAATAGTGTCGTCAATTGCAACAAGTCACCGAATGGTCTTCTTCTGACAGCGGCTATGGCCACTCACACATAATGCAGGTAAGCCTCACACATATATTCTCTATTGTACACAGTACTACACACAGGTCACACTCACATTATGTTCCTCTCTCTCTCTCTCTCTCTCTCTCTCTCTCTCTCTCTCTCTCTCTCTCTCTCTCTCTCTCTCTCTCTCTCACCGAATCTTCTTCTTCTGACAGCAGTTATGGCCACTCACACACAATGCAGGTAAGCCTCGCACGTATATTCTCCATTGTTCACACAGGTCGCACTCACCTTACGTTCCTCTCAGAATGTCTTCCACTCTCTCTCTCTCTCTCTCTCTCTCTCTCTCTCTCTCTCTCTCTCTCTCTCTCTCT